TTGTTTATTAGTTAGTTTTATAGTATTTCACTTGCCTACATGAGTTTAATGCTGTGATTTTTGTTAATTTCCCCATTTTTCAAATAAAGAAACAGGATTTAAGAGGATAGGTAACTTGCCAAACTCACATAGCTATTAAACCCAGGATCCAAAATTATAACCCAGAAAGCCTGACTTCTTAATATTTTCACTGTATTGCATTACATTATATGTTCTCTGCTAGGGAATACTAAACTGAACAGAGAAAAAGGAATTAAAATTCTACTTAGTTACTGTTTTATATGAGATTATAAAGCAACACTGGCCTAGTTGTTGAACTGTTGAAAAGGTTTCTTATATTTTCTCCCCAAATATAATGTTCCATCTATTCAAAATGAAATTAGATTTCACACAGTGCCTAAAAGCTGGAAAGTTTGGATTTCTTTGTTCTTGTTTTTCTTTTAAAGTCTCTAAAGAATGGGCCAACAATGAGATAACCATTAGGGAAAATAGACATCAACAGCTGTTTTCTTCACCAAAAAAATGCTTGAGTTCAGGGTCATATTCAGCAGCATGAAGTCAAAGTTTTATAAGTTAAGAAACTGCTAGAAATTCCCACTGGATTCTATTTTTTAAATTTAAAGTAATAAAATGTGATTGAGAGTGCTATCCTTTTTAATTGTTAAATGTGGCTATTGATCCTGTTTCCAGATGCCCATTCTATGGCAAATCCTTTCAACAGATGGTTGTTGACACCTGCTCTGTGCCAAGCTCTGCGGAGGCCCCCAGAATCTAGTGGTAACAGAACAGAAAACTGGCTCATAGAGATCCTATTCCACTGGGGGAAGCAGACAATGGAACAAATTTAAAAAAAATAAAAAGGTAATATAATATAAGGAAGCTGTAAACTTACAAAAAAAATAAAGGGATAGAGACTGAGTAATCAGTGAAGACTTCTCAGATACAGTGACATTTGAGGGCATTCTCTGAGGAGGTCACAGAATCAATAAACAGGGTAATGCATACATAACAAAGTGAGCCATGGGAAAGGCCTTCTTGCACATTTTTGAGGTTTGAATGTGGGCATCTCACACTTTCAACCCTCTGCACTACCAGCCGCCCACCTCCCTCATGGTACCTTTAAAACTCCATTTGGAGTGCAAGTACATGGCTGTGCAAAAGGTAGGCCTTGGGGGTTTTATGTGCATGTGGGGTGAGGAAGAGGGTGTTTGTATAGGTGTCTTATCTTCCAGATCTGGAGAAAGAAATGACCAAGTATTTGCGAATTTTTTTTTTCATTTTACAAATGCTGTTAAAATTCCAATGTGCATTGATGCAACATTTGATAGTTTTACTTTCCCAAGCATTTGCTGATAATCCATTTTCTGAGAGGAGATGGGATTTTTTTCTTTCATGGTTTTTAAGAATAGGATGCTTTGACAAGTGTTTTGCTGTTCAGTACAAACAAACTAATTGGACTTTAGAATTAACAAAAAAATATGTCTTGGCCTATATTTATAAACACCCACCTTAAAAATTAGTCATTTGGAAAAATGGATAAAGAGTCCCAAACTTGATCTCCCATGCAGGCCTCCTTTCTTTAGTCTTCACTGGCACAGCTGCTCTTCTTTCCCCAGCATTTTTGACTCTGAATTCAATTGTCTTCCCACTAACTATGTTGGGACAACATGCCTTTTTTCCCGAGTAAAATGCTTCCCAGCCTACCTTTCAAGGATTCTCCCGTATGTCACACTGGGACATATGGGGGTCGCACTGGGGGAGTGCAGAGTTGGGGCTGGGGCAGCCAGAGGTTAAGGAATTTCATCCTCAATAGGCCAATAGCCCCAAGGGAGTCATGACAGAAGTCAGGGACACTGCACATCTGAGTAGGTCTGTGCAAGGAGCTTATTAGGTTTGTCTCTTTGGTACCCACTCCCTTTCTCTTGGTGGGGCCCTAATTTTTCTTTGGGGAACATCTCTGTGACTTCCCAGACTGTGTGGGACTGACATCATTTCCTGGACCTTCTGGGGTGATGAATAGCCAGAGCTGGTAAGTTCAGACCATTTCAGGCCCCTGCCTCAGGACGGGCACCTGTGAAATGGCACGCCAGGCCTTTGGCTGGACCAGGGGGAGAGAGGAGTTCTCCTTTCTGGCAATGCTAGGAGGGTATATATAAGTCCGGGGCTGCCAGCAGCTGTTTGCCACCTCACTGGGGTGAACCTGTCTGAAAAGGAATCCAGTAGAATGGAAAGCATGGGAAAGATGTAGAGAATGAGAGTTCCAGCTCTGCAACGTTACGTCGTGCGTGGGTCCAGCCAGCTCTGAGAACAGGTTTCCTCGTGGGTTTCTCAGTTCTCTGAGCTCATAATTCCCTGAAATCTGATCTGGGTTTATGTCACATACAGCTGAAAGACTCCTGATTAGACACTAAGGGAAGATCACAGGACTGGTAGGCAGGAAATCAGTCTAGGCAAAATGGAACAAAAAGCTGTCAGTAACCAATGGCTTGGGATTCACACAGCTGCATATTTTGAGACAATCACTCCAGGGAACAAAAATGCCGACCTAATCCTAATCCTAGGGTAGGGGCTACATGCCCTTTAGCCTCTCATTTTTGCAAGGTGGCTCTGAAGTTACAGATGTCTAGGATTCAACTGTAGCTCGAAAGCGATTCTTCAGAGTTATATATAATCTAGTCCTGGCTAGAGCAAGACGAGAAAAATTAGGATTATTAGGAGATTCTTTCCATTCCAAATAGCTAGATGATCGGTAAGATTTCAGGACAAGTCTAGAGTTTCTGCTGTTCACTACATGCGATCACCAATAAAACATTTCATGCTTTCTGAGCTTACCTACTACTTAATTCTCACAGTGGTTCTAGTGTTTTCCAAACTGGGACACTTCTGAGAATAAGGAGGTAATATTCCTAATCATGACGGACTAGCCAGCCTCCATTAGGACTGTTCCAGGCAGATCAGGACCGACAGGCACTCCCTTCCCTAGTCAGTCCAGTGGGTTCTTTGCTGACTGGGTTCTTTAGACCTGCCTTCTGCCTTCAATCTTTAGAAAAAGAGTGAATTCTTCACAGCTTTGTTCTTTAGCTGTGAAGACAGCTACTACGTCAGGGTGCTCCCAAGGGGCAGGCACTGCTCTTTATTCACGTGGTCTCATTGCCTCTTACCTGTGAGGTAAGAATGATTTAGGGATGAGGAAGGGACTTCTCTCACATTTCAGCCACCAGGCAGTGGTGGGCCAGCCATACGCATCTACCTAACAGGAGCCAGAACCTTCAGTCTTTGCACAGTGTTCTGCTGCCCCTTTATTTAAGTGGGAACAGCCACCCTCATTTTCCTCTGCGTCATTTAAAGTCTGAAGGCTTGTAATTTTCATAGACATAGATAATATTGTCTGAAAATAGGAGATCTCTCTCCAAGTCTTTCCACTGTGGCTTCTGGAGGCTGTGCTAATAAAAAAAGGGGGATGCCCTGTGAATGTCAAAGGAGCCTTAGGTCTCTGTGCTCCAAGTGGAGATCCTCTCCTAGGTCTCCTGTGACTCGAGCTCTGCCACCTGTCACAGAGCCTCCTGGAAAGGTGGAAATGAAAGTGAGCCCCCAGCTCCATCTTAAGCGTCCCTAGGAAACAGGGGCTTACCGGTATGTTTCACACTCAGACTGGAGCGTTGCCAACACCTTGCTCCTCTACTGCACACATTTGTTTTCAGGAATAATACTATAATAATCAGCAATGATTATTCTTTTCTTGATTCGTTCTTTAGTTTTAAAGCACACACCAATTTTAAAAAGAAGAGAAATTGCATTCTTAAAGATACTCTTTAAGCCTAGAAAATATTTCTTGTATTAAAAAAGTGTGCACTTAAAAACCAAAAATATTACAACTTACAATTCATACTGTTTCCCTGTTCGAAATTTTAAACAAAAATAAAAATCCCAAGTTGCCTTAAAGAGTGATAGAACTGAAGCAATTCCAGTTCTTCATCTTTATAATTACAGTGTTATTCTTGTTGATTTTGACTCTTGTGATTTGAAAGCAGGAATATGTGGTACCACAGTACAACATGGCCTAAGGTCATGAACTAGCCGAAGCATTTGTCTGCGTGAGTTGGGGACTGAGTTGGGAATTGTCTGTGTAGCTGGACATTTTCCAAAATAATGTTCATGTTGGATCCAATGTTTAACCACAGGATAAGTAATAAACATGTGCTTATTTCTAGCTTATCCATATATTACATAATTCAGTGGTAGCCACAACCTTTATTTAAAATGTAGACCATGCAAAAGAGGTGTTATTCAAGCAGGAATATTTTACTGTTGGTATTGTTTAAGATTGTGACACATGGCAATAACGATAACAGACTGGATTATTCGCGTTTTCAGATTTTTACAAGACAGCGTGGCTCTGTATTGCCTGGACCAGAGCTCCCGATGGCCTTGAACTTGAAGCCTCAGTATTCAAAAGTTAAAATCCCACTTGCCCCAGTTTAATCCATCAAATGGCATCTGTCATAAAGATAAAGGATATTGTATAAATTTTTTACAACTTCTGAGGGATCTTGAGAGTTCTTTGCCAAAAAGTACTCTGGGTCCTTGACACCCACCAGTGGCCCAGTTTTGCCCAAAGTGATGCCCCATCCCCACCAGCAATACAGTGCCTCATGCCCATCTCCCATCTCCACGTTTGTTTAATCAAAACCCTGAACTTTGAACTAGAGTCAATATGAATATGTAACATAGAGACTAACTGATTACCGACTCCTTGATGTATAACAGTGAAGACTTGTATATGGTCTGTCGGCTTGATTTTAAGCCACCCAAAGGTTTTAATCCACACTTAGAAGCTCAGTTTGATCACCCGTGGCAGCTGGACCTTGAACTTCAGCTAAAAGTGCCGAGGCAATGAGTTCTTTGGGTCTGGTAGGAAATGAGAGAGAGAGTGACATCGTTTCCCTTATGGGAGAATTCTCTTTTCAGTGGCCTTGCTAAAAAATTTGCCTCCCAAACTAGGAGATTGCAAGAGGAAAACAAAGAGGTGTCTGTGCGTACACGAGAGCAGGCAAAAGCAACGCGCCGAGGAGAAAGAAGCCCGGGAGACCCGCTCAGGCAGCGGAACGTACAGGTGAGGGAGGAGAAGAAAGATGTGAACTGTGGGAAAGCAGCAGTAGTAATAACAATAATATCAATTTGGAAACTAGAACCAGTGTATAAAGTACATGAATAAAGCCAGTAAAGCTCCAAGAGTGAAAACCATCCCAACAAGAGACAGGGAAGCCACGACAGAGGTTCCGGGTAACAATCAGAGCACAGTGACTGACCAGCAGCAGTGCTGAGCAGGGGAGACTGCCCAGACTTGGACCTTTTGAGTTCCTGAACTTGAGCTCACCCCTTGCCGTCAAAAGACTTAGTGACCTGAAAGGAAACTATCGTTGGTTTAAGTACGGACTTATGAATCTATCTAATTTTATACTCAACTGCATGTGTTTAAGATCTTAATATTTCCATAATCAACGTAAGAAGGTATTAGGTTCACTCATTTGAAATTGCCTATATACATTCATTTTTTAGCTATAAAAACTGCAATTTCACAAGGTTCCAACGAATAGAGAGGAAGATCTTCTCAAGCAAAATCTTTGATTTCATTTTAAAATCCATGCTGGAGATATTTGGCCTTCAGTAAGATTCCTACGTTCTCTTGGAGTTTGTGATTTATGAACTTGGTGCCATCTGGGGAAGGGGCAATCCCCAAAGCATTCAGCCTGCCCCTGCCTGGGATGTGAGAAGAAGCTGGGGAGAAAAGGAGGTTCCGGAACTACATAGGCAGAGGGAGGTGGTATCAACCTCAGTACTTGTTTATTTCATTTTTTGCTTTGCTTTTTATTTCTATCTCATCTGACTTTGGGTTCCAGATTTGTTTTTCTCTTTGTAAACTAGCTTTTGAAATTATTATCTGGCCCATCTGTTTGCATCTCTCAAATGAATGTAAATTGGCTTTTGTTTTAAATTTCAGGTGCTTTAGTTTTGATGTTACTGTTCATCGCCTACAGCAGTTTGGCCATGGCAGTGAATTTTTTGCTGCCAAGAACAGAGAAGCATGCTGTTTTGAATCTTTTTTTTTCAAATGAATGTGCATTTTAGTATAAAAGAATTCTCAGTTTTTCATAGGTTTGGCTTGCCTCTGATCTTATGTTTTCTTTCTTTTCTCTTTCATTCTTTCCTGTCCTGCAGCCCCACATTAATGCTATCATGTTTCTTTTCATATCCTCCCTTACAAGGAACCCAAGACAAGCCACTCTCTGTTCCTTTCTCAAATTAAAAAGAAAAAGATGCCTATGGGATCATGCTGATTCCTGCGGGCAACCTTGCTTGAATGATCACAGTGCATTAGATAATGATCCTTCACTGGACAATCAATAATTATTGAGCACCTAGTTTGTGCAGGATACTGTACATACAATAGCATAGGCAATGATGGGAACACGTTTCATGAGAGACATTGAAATATTCATGGACATAGACTTTCTTGGCAATTATGTTTTTGAGATCCACCTATAATGGACACATATTTGGCATGGAAGAAAGTTGAAGACGTGCACAAAGGTTTGATGTAATGTCTTTTTATGAATCTAACCATTGTGAAGCTTGGCATGTATACTTGAGGAGCTATACCCTGTGCACCGCCAGTGGTGTCATACCATGTAAGGTGCACAGGTAAGAAGTAGATGATAGTTCTGCAGGCAGGTAAAGGCTTACCTTACTAAATGTTCTCCCCTCATCCCACCTCAGTCACACTGTGGAAATGTTTTCCTTTTTGAGGATTACCGTATAAGTACTTTTTTCCCATGTAGTATTTTCCTACCTAGGACAGGGTGCTTCTTACGGAGCCACACCTTAGAAAGAGCAGCTGACCCTGGCTTTGCTTGGCAGGAAACAAGGCCATGAACAGTTGTGACACAGGATGGTTTCACTTTGACATGACAGAAGTGGTTTGGGAAAGAGTTCAAAGAAAGGTCACCTTGAGCAGTTCTAGGGAAGGAAAAGAACATAGGGTCACTCAACAAACAGTGCTACTGAAAAGAAGGAACAGACGCCAAACTGAAGAAACATCAGGGCCACCTTCACTCTAATTGCAATTTAGCTTTTGCCCAACCTGAGGAGGGATGTTCCAGTGAGCAGAGGGGCAGCTTGTCTGGAAGCCGGGAAAAGCTTTCACCAGCCGTCTGGACGGGAGGCTCACACAGGGAGACCCACGCATTGAGTCCACCTGGGACTTGCCTGGTCTTAGCACTGACTGTTCCCTGGAACCCTCTCCGTCCTGGGCACACCAGGATGACTGGTCCTTCCTGCATTTTCTTGGGCTTCTGAGCCATCTTTGTAGAGGTTACACTGTCTTTTGTTTTTTGATAGCATCAGCCTTTCCTTCCTAGAGAATGCAGCACCGTTTTCCCTTTAATTTTAGAAACAGATTCATTCTAGGAACATCACCTCCTAAGCTGCTGTTTGGTGCTCTGTGAGAAGAGTCTCTGAGGGCTCGGATAGGGCTTGTGAAGCTGAGAGATTTCAGAGGTGTCATCCTCACTAGCATTCAGCAGTGGCCACCTACGTCCACGTGGAGAAAAGTGTGAAGTGTGGTGATTTCAGCAATGGGAAAGTTGTTGGTCCTGAGAGATAAGCAGTTACTGACTTTCTCATGGAGGTGGCCTGGGATATTCCGAGATGTGCACACTTATAAAATATGTTCTTGCCTTTGTCCAAATAGGTCTTTGTTTAAACTATAGTTTATGGGAAGATATTAAGCCATGGTTATAATACTATCTTTTGGTAAGATCTGTGGCAATATCACAAAATCATGTATAAACTCCGTAATTGGAGAATGTTTTCAAAAATTTTTGAAACTAAAACTAAGTAATTCACTTAAAAAAAGTCATCTAGGTGAAATCTAATACTTTCTGTTACTTGAAGATGTTTGTAATAAAGTGAAATCCCATGTTAATTCTTGGCTACAAGATAGTCAAATTAGAATGTCCTTAACAAAAAAAACAAGAATATTCATGAACTAGGATTTTGTTCATAAAGTCAGCTTTCCACTGACTTGATTAACAGTGGAGAGAAAATGCATTGTTTCGGTTTAAGCTTAACCATAGTTAAAACAAAAGTTGACAAAAAGCAGGACAAACCTGTTAAAAATGCATCCAGTGTTTGGAAATACAGTTACTAGTGAATGGGTGGGGAGGGCCATCCAAATGTGGACAATTAATACAAGGACATTAGGGTAGAACATTGCATAAACTATTAGGCGGGGTGGAGGCCAGTCAAAAGATTTTGATTTGTGAAAATAGTCTACTATTGTTGGTATTTCTTAGTTGAGCATTCTTCTATTTAAAGATTTGAATAGTAAGAATCTTAGTAACTGAAGGTTGTTTCTGCACTAAGAATGTTAAGTTTACTGGTTTCTTTGTATGTAAAATCTCATTTAAATCACCCAACAATCATAAGAGGTGGGTATAGCTATAACCCTCTCACATTTACCTCTTGAGGTCTAGGTGGTACATAGGGTACATATTACGTGGCGCCCACGCTCTTTTTTTTTTTTTTTTAGTTTTCATCCTGGCAACATCATACTGTTTATTTATTTATTTAATCAATTTATTTTTATCCAGGTATCATTGATTTACACTCATATGAAGGTTTCACATGAAAAACATTGTGGTTACTACATTCACCCATATTATCAAGACCCCCCGCCATACCCCACTGAAGTCACTGTTCGTCAGTGTAATAAGATGTGTGGCCCCCACCTTCTTAATGAGTGTTTCTGGAGGTGGGCCTCAGAAACCCCATTTTTAATAAGTTCCCAGATGGTTTTTATGCCCTCAAAATGAAATACACATCTAATAATCAGCAGTCTGTTTTTACCATCAATGATATTATTATTCTCCTCATGGGTTCCCAGAATTAGGTAGGACCTTGCTCTCATTTTTAGCCAGAGCAGATACACTAGTTTCCCGTTATTTCATGGTGTAGAACAGTTTCTGAATAGGAGAGGAAATGTATCTTAATAGGACTCATAAAAATTTTGAATGTGTCTAGGAATCAAGTTAAACCTCTCTGTCCTAGCACAAGTAGCTGGAAAATTTTAGTGACCATTAAACAGAGTATTCTGTTCATGTCTTCACACATTTTATATAGTTAGAGTGACTACAGTCAGGAGCCAGCAGGAGCTGGGCGGTTTGAGAGAGAAAGAGAGCTTTTAGATTCACAGTCTCCTCCCAGAAATGCCATTCTTGATAAAGTTTATGAAGAAGTAGACATTGGATTGCATGAATATCTTAGTAAGAATATCTTCCAAGAGGTTTATTTAAAGATGAGAAACACATGGTGCTAAAGAGAGCTTACGCATAGATGCAGTAGAGAAACTAGTTAATGTTAAGGTCAGAGAGTTTTGGCCAAAAAAAAAAAAATAGTGTGTTCCTTTATGTGGCTTGGAGAAGTAGAGCAAGTATTTTGAATCCAGGGTTTTGACAAATATTTTATAGTGTGTTTCCTCTTCAAAAAAACTGAAGTAAATGTTTGGTTGTTTTTTTTTTTAAATATATATTTACTGTCACATAAGCCTGAACTTCCAAACTTGAATTTCTGGACATATCAGTGAGGCTAAAAGCCCTTTTTATTCAACATGGCCTGTTAGGAATTGGCATCTCTTGTTATATTGCCCTCCCTAGAGCAACGTCCAAACAAATGCCTCTCTCCTTCCTCGTTCCTCCTACCTGCCTGTTCTCCTCATCTTTTCCTTTTTCTCTCATTCTCTCTCTCTTTTTGTTTTGGTTCATCTCTCTGAATCTCGCCCTTTCTCTCATCTCATGTCAGTTTCCCTGTATCATGTTCCCAACCCACTCCAGCCCATAGTATTTCTCCTTTTCCTGATTTTTCATATTACCAAGTATCTGTAGCAAAGACTTTGGCTAATGGATATTCTAACTCAGAGTATTATCCAATTGCATTTTATGTATAAGTCCAGTTCCCTCAACTAGATCCTAAATATTTGAGACCCAGAAAGAAAACATTTATTACTTCTTAATTTCCAACAGAGTTCATAACCAGTGTTCAATAACTAAATGGTATTTTGAATCACACTGAATTATTTTTCTATTTCCCAGTCAAATTTGTTTCTTTTATTATTCTTGCCCAGCCATGCAAATTTAATCTGTACCTCTTTTGATGGGCTAGGAGAGAAAAAAAAGTTGGAAATCACAATCAATTTACTCATTTGTGGAAAGCAAAGTGTTAAATAATATTATTAATGAATTATTAAAGAATAAAAATATAATTAATACACTGAATTTAGTCTGAAAATTTATTCACAGATCATAGAAGAAAAGTGAAGGTTTTTATATCTCAACCAGAGTTGACAAGCTGGGTGGTAATAGCCATCAATCAGCAAATAGATCCCAATTACTACCTTAGAAGCTACCTGTTAGTTGATATAATTTCAGCTCTGCTAAGTAGCCATTTGAAGTGTGACTATGTAGAAATAACTTCAATTTATAAAAATTCCTTTCCTACTTAATTTGATCACTGTTTATGCTTGACATGAAGACTTTTTACATAATTGTTAGTCATTACATACTGTCATTAGCCAAGTGGTTGAACATGGTCTGTACAATTTTTCCATTTATAGTCAAATAATTCCTTTTAAGAACAATGAAACTTTATTTTTTAAGGAGAGTACAGGTCCACAGGAAGTGATAAAGGCCAAATGACAAGAAATCAATAGGCTTCAGGAGATCTTACTAAGTACAAGATCTAAGTAGAAAAAAGGTTTTCTATAAACATCTGAAATATATGAAAGCAGGTTTGCTCATGCATTTGTTCCTCAGTGTAATGAAAAATAGCATAAACTGTGGTGTAGGAGAGCTTTAATTCAAATCCTATGTTTTTACTTTCTGGCTGTGAGATCTTGGACAAGATACATAATGCATTTGAATATTAATTTCTTTATCTGAAAAATATATGTAACAGTATTTCAATTGGTTTTTTTAAGTAATGAGAAAAATCTTTAAATGTCTTGGCAAAAACATAAAAATTGCAGGTGCTTTTTTAATGATGTCATTCATACCTCAGTTTCACCACATTACAAGGGAAAAGACTGACATGGACATCATGGCACAAAGATAATTAAAATTTACAGTGTGAGACTCAGAGATCAAGAGATGTGACTTAAAGGTTAAGAATTAGTCTATGAATTCACCTGAAAAGTTTTATTATGTATGTGTGTGTGTCATCAAAGTAACTAACATTAACACTTTCTTCTATGAAAGACAACCAGAACTCTTACATAGGCCTATAGCCCAGGTCCACAATGACTCAGGCTGAAGGCTACAGACAGCCTGTGTGTGTTCACATGTGAGAATGCTTGGTGAAAAGCATCAATGGTACAGAATTGTCCCCAAGACAGCTTTAGTGTAGCATATAGCAGATGGAGCTCAAGGTCAGGATTGTCCTAGAGTGGTAGGCTGGATAGGGAAGGGGCTGGAATTCCTAACAGATGACATATAGCCACAGTTCACCTTTTCTCCCACACTTCCTGTGTTCCAGGCACTGTGCTGAACATGCATTATCTCCTTTAATGCCTCCAAGACCTTCTTGAGGTAGGTGTTGCTGTTATCTTCAAATTGCAGATGAGTAAACTGAGGCACAGAGATGTTTTTGTAATTGGTCCCAAGGTACACACCTAGAAAACTACCTGTAAGTATGAGTTGAACTGTCTGAATCCAAAGGCTGCTTTCATAAATGTTTCTGAAAAAAAAAAAAGTATTAGCTACACTTACACAAACACCAAGGGAGGAACCTCACAAATCTGGGGTGGGGGACGGATGTATGAAAGGGAGGAAATTTTGGTTAGCCAGTCCTGTGCAATTTTGTCAGTCTGGTATGCTGCCTAAATGACATGGAATCTGTGCTTACATGATGCTGGACAGGAACATCTAGCGATAGGAATGGTGTACGTGCTGCGTGTCCAGCAACAGGCTGGGTTGTCTATTTCCAGGGCCTAGGGGCTGCTCACTGACTTGACCCAGATAAGTGCTAGACACAGGAGTGCAGGTGCAAGATCAACCAGTCTTCTTCTTCTTGGGTGGAATTTTCCTGCTCAAAAAAAAAAAAAAAAGATGCAGGAAAACAACAGCTTCCTATGACCTCATTCTGCTTAAAATTCCTGGATATGTCTCTATTTCCCTTCTGGTTCCAGACTTTTTCATACTTGCTTTAAGACTAAATTCAGCTCCTTTAAAAGGAAATGAGTGTCAGCTTCATAAAGAAGTGGTATTGCTTTTTTGTATCCAGAACATTTTGGACTATAGAGCCAAAGCATCTTATTTAATCAGTTCCTAATTTAGTTTTTTTCTCGGATGGTCAATTTTTCCTGACAAAGTGTTCTGTAGACTGTCTGCATTCGAATCACTGGGCATGCTCATTAAATTCAGCCATTCATTTAGCAAAGCCACTTACTGAGTATGTACTATGTGACAGGCATTATACTGGTTTGCAGGCCTTTCCATATTCTGAATGAATGCCTTCATAGGTGGGCCCAGGAATCCTCATTTTTAACAAGCTCCCAGATATATTCTCAAAACTTTGAAGACCTCTGACCTATATTACGAACTCTTCAAATACGGAGCAGGCTATTTTATGTAACTTCATTTCTAGTACCTAACAAATTGCCTGGCATGGTGATGTTGATGTGTGATTGGTTACGAGCCAATGAGACAGGAATTTCCAGACCCACTGCTGCTTGGAGTAATTTGAGAATATTGAAACCTATTGTTTATTCTTGTTCATATTTTTATACTTTTCAATCTGCTGGTCTTGAGTCTAGCTGCTGAGATACCTGTAAGTGAAGAATCTGTTATTTCAGAGCTCTGGTTTTTGTTTGTTTTTTTCCCCCAGGAATATTTAATCATTAGGTTTTGTGCTTCCTTACTGAGATATTCTCAAAATACATTTTGTGTTTTTATTCAGAAATCAAAGAATGCCAAGGTTGAGTAGATCTTAAAAGAGAAGCATTTCAACCACTCAACAAGTACTTAAATTCTCCCACAGTGTACTCTGTTTTAGAGCAAGGCAACTGCTTTAACAACTTCAAAATTTCACCGGTTTCATCCCAATGAAGTTTATTTCTCACTCATGTCTTATTCCAATACAGATTAGCAGGAGGGGTCTTTTGACATTCAAGGACCCAGGTTCTTACTGCCCTGTGGCTCTGTTATCCTTTAGATAACCAAGGTCTTCCCCTTTCAGCAAACAGACAGTACAAGAGGGTGAGGATCGCACACAGTGGGTTTAAAGCACAGCTCTGATGTGACATATAACATTTTCACTCACATTTAATCAGCCAAAACGCAGCCACTGGCCCACACTGAACTACAAAGGAGACTGGCACAGGCACTCAAAGTGTACGATCACATACCCGCTGCCTTGGCCTACAAGAGTTTATATGGCCTGCCTACAATTCTTCCAGGGACCAAGGGACTGACCACTTTTTGAGTTAGATAACATATCCTCTTTAAATATCTTGGACAGGTAGAGAGCTGTTCTTTTGTTACACTGAAATATGTTTTGCTGCATTGGCAAGATAGCACATTACTTGAGTATGTGGGCTCTAGAGTCAGTCTGCTTGAATTTGTATCCCAGCTCCATCAACTTTGGGCAGTTGCTCATGTCTCAGAATCTGGTTCCTCATAAGTTAATGCATGAATTGCCTGACTTACAATAAATTCTCAATAAGGGTAAATGAATGAATATTGGTTCATGTTCCATCCTTGTCCTCACAGAGAAACATCCTCATCTTTGGAATAGTTGAAGATATGTCTGCCTCTATTCTGAGTATTTTCCAGAATCTTCAACTATTCCTCACATGACCTCATTGAGCACTCCCTCTGTCTTCTTCACTCTTCTCAGATTGTGCTCCAATGTATCTATAGCCCTTTGAGGAGTGTGGTGCTCTTACCAGAGTACAATATTCTAGTGTGCTCTGACCGGGGCAGACAGCAGCAAAACCATAACTTCCCTATTTTTAGTTGCTGTACAGTTACTTATGCAGCCTAAGATTACATTAGCTTTTTAGCCACCACTTCACCCACTCGATACATATTGATCTTATTTCCTACTAACATTTAAAAATTTTTATATACATGTAATTACAGAGCTAAGCCTTTTTCATTGCTGTAGGACTTTTTTGGTTTCAAGAGAAGATTCATATATTTACATCTACAGATTTTTAGTGGGCTCTATTTGATCCTGCATTTTCAGTCTTACAGGAAGAGTAGCAGCACCCTTGGGGCCCGGCTGCTACCTCACAGTGGTCAACAAAATTTATTTGACATACAGGGAGAGTGACTAAGACTCCTATGTTAGTGTAAATTTCTTTTGGCCCAGAGTACACCAGAAAATCTCCTGACACCAGGGATATTTACTAAGCTAGTGTTTAGGATTTTTTTCCTCCTATATTTGAAGAATTAAAAAAAAAAAAACAGCATATCCTTTTTTTGGCATCGAGACTCCTACCACTGCCTCAACCCAAATTGCTTCTGCTTTTTTTTTCCTTGTGGGCAGGAGTTTTTCTGGGTCTGCTGCCACATCATGTGGGTTTGGGGAAGGACAAGAAGTGAGACAAAAGATGTGGTGGAATAAGCAGGCGGATGCTGCCGATACCACGGCAGGAAGGAGTTGGACCTAGTGGTAGTTGAAGTGGATGATCTCCAAGGTGCCTTGCAGACCTATGATTCTAAGACTCTATGTGATAAATAAGTGGATTCCAGCTCCAGAAGCCTCAGTGTACCAACTACCAGGCTGGGAAATGGGAACATATAATTTTTAAAATACTTGTTCTAAGTGCTGTCTCTTCAGATTAGGAATGATATCTTCTTTCTTAATATTTCATCTGTGATCACTGCTTCACAGTCCTCCTCTTCACTATGAAAGCCTGACCCTGGCATTTAATTCACACGGCTCTCTGGTTTTCTTTACTGAAGTCAATCTTTGATAATGGTTTGTTTGAGACTGATACTCTGGCCTTTCCTACATGTAATAATAGCAGCAACAATAATAGCTATACTAAAGCTGATAATATTGAGCACATACTATGTGTCAGGAACATATGATGGGGTAAGTTTGATTAACCACATGTTAAAGAAGAGGACACTGAGATATAGAAACTTTAAGTAATTTGCCCAGGGTTGTTTAGTGGCAGAGCCAGTTAAATAGGCACTCCAACCATATAATGCAAACTATCATTCACCAACGAACAAAGGCCCTGCCATTCATCACCCCCAGAGGCTGAAGACTTAGCTGCTAAACTGCCACAGTAAAGTCTCAGGCCACATATAACCCATTCCCTTTTGTGAACGCTTTACACTAATTCACCTCACTTCGACACATCACGTTTCAAAACAGTATCTCTTAACCCAGTGGTTGATAAAAAGCCAAAATCGCACTTTGGTGTCATTTCAAAATGATCAGCCTAAAGTGACGGGCAACACTTGAATTAGGGACACTTCAAGGAACCCAAGGAGAGATCACGTAACATGTTAACACAATGACTTTTAAGAAAATACTTGCATGGTCAAGGTCACCAATCCCTTCACTTCACCTGGGCTAGGGTGGGAAAACCCCAAGAAACAGAACAATCCAATCACCTCCTCCCAGAGCCCACATGCACAGCTGATTTCTGAGAAACGAACTTAACTGTCAGAGGTTTCATGATCAGCTGCTGGGCAACATCCGGCATCAACCTAACCACTAATCTCAGATCTCATAGCAACACATGTCTGCTGGAACCCAAAATAGCCCTGCCTTGAGCTCTTTTCACTTCTTATCACTTGAGCAATAGCGTGTGTAAAAAAGGTGTCTGTCAGCCAACAGCTGCTAGTTTCCAGAGAAATGAGTGGATGTGTGGCTGCTTCCATTTAATCAGTCACCATCTCTATCAGCAGGATTAACGCTTCCATTGTGCCAGCCACCTCTATCTATGCATATTTTCTTTTATCCAAGAGTCTACTGGACTATTTCAGATTCACTGGCATATGTGATGTTTTCATAACATTGAATGAAATCCCCTTTCATTTTAACCTTTCTCCACTATATGTTGTTTCTTAACATTTTCCTTTCACAGAAACACATTGGAGGCTAATCCCCAAGACCTGGAGAGAGATACACCCAAGAAAACCTTTTTGACTTTGCTAGAGGAACTTCACCTGCTTCAAGCTTGTTTTCATCTCATCAGAGCTCCTCATTTCTTCATCCCTTGGCAGCAGTCAGGAACTCTGCTGCCATAAAGTGGATTACTCCTGAATCAGGGCATCGTGCCCACTGGTAGCACTGCTTTCCTCTAGAACCATTCCAGGACCCACAGCCTGGGAACACTCGGCTTGCTCTAGTAGGTACAATGTAGCTTTGACATGAATTATTCTCTAAAGAAAACTCTCTGGATGTGCCCAAGAACAATTTACATTAGCAGGAGAAATAAATAAGAAAATAGCAATGGAGTAAATTGTTGAGATTTATTGCAATAAGTATATATTGTTTTATGATGATAAATCAATAACAATTTTTATACTGACATGTCTACTCACCTACATGGTTGGTTTCTGCACTAGATTTAATGGAAGGAAACAACATGAAAATTCTTTTTCCCCTGACTCCTGCCAAGTCCCTCTTGAGTGGTTACATGCAGCCACCACATACTCTGCCATTGAAAGGAGTTGGGTGGCCATATTTATTCTCTACAATTCCCATATGTTTTTGCTTCAAAGTGAAAGCAACCCAGGATACATTCTTTGCTCTGTAGGAGCCAAGGATTCAGAGTTGAATTTAAATGATACCAAAAGAAATCTTCAAACTCTGCAGAAAGCCTAGCATATGGGAGGTTGTTCATTAAGACCAGCTGGAACTATTATACCGCAGAGGAACCAAGGGTTTGATAGAATGCAATTTGTGAGCAATCATTAATTATTTACTATGGATAAGGCATTTGTTTCCGTTAAGATTGACCTATCCTGCCTTTAAAGCATACTTGAAGAAGAAAAGGAAGAGGAGAAGGAGAAGGAAGAGGAGGAGAAAAAGGAGGAAGCAGCTGATGACAATGATGACACCATCTGTTGGGGAATCAAAAAGTGGGCCTGTTAGTCTCCCCCAGCCCTGCTCCCCAGCCTCTGAATCTCAGGTATTATCTCACTTTGAAACTTATCAAGCCAGTGGGATATAAGACAGTAAGGGCCTCCTAATTGTCTGCCTCAGCAATATTCCCAAGTACCATCCCTCCCAGAGTATTAGAAAGGAACAAACATTTAATGGGCTCTTCATCACTTTATACGCCTTCAATGTATGGTACCATTTAATTCTCAAACAAGCCCATTTGTATAGATTAAGCTCAAGAATATGAGAAACTTGCCCAAGTTCACACAGCTAACAAATGAGTCACTGGCATTCAGATCTGTGTCATTTGGATTGCCAGGGGGAGTCTCGTCCCATCATCCATATGCATCTCTTCTCTGTTCTCCAAGAGATTGATCTAGTATCTCCTTTCCAACCTGATGGGTCTGGCACATCTTGCCCCAGATGGAATTTCTGGTACCCATCCATGTCCCCATGCCTCATCGGTGAGATTCTACCCCACCACATGCATTTTGCTTTTGCAAGTGGCTTTTCCCAATGCATTTATGATTCTCACCATTTTACATAAGCCTGACCATCCCTCAGACATAAAGTCCAACCCCACAGCACACTGGATATACTGACAATCACCACATAGATCAAAGAACTCTCATTGAAAATGCAAACACAGGTTTCCCCCCCTACCCAAAAGTAGAGCGCTCCTATGCAGCCTTTCAGAAGCTGACGTGGAAGAAAGCAAAGAAGCAATTGCCATTAATTTATACAGAAAAGGTTTTGAGCATTCTCAGACCCCAAGAAAATAACCTCTCTTAGGTTTTTCTGATACTTTAGGACACATTTTGTAAAACAAGGCACAAAATCGGGTGAGATAAAGTGGAGCTGCTCACAGACACAGTTCAAAGCTGTGGCGCCTCAATGCTGGCACGCTGAGCGTGGTTCCCTGGGAAGGTGCGTGGGGGGACCACTCTTACTGCTGGGGGTGTGGGGCATGTGCTGTCTGTATAATGCTCACTACACAACAGTGTTGGATGCTCTTTTCACTTTCATTTTTCTGAAAGCAAAAATCCTCTTAGGCTTTATTTAAGTTAGAGAAAATAACTACTAATGTAGGTTTTTCTTAAAAGTGAAGTGGTATAATGGGAACTTTCCAAAAGTGGGTGAAATTGCTACTGTGAAAAAAGTGGGGAACTGATAAAGACAGGATTTTTCATATGATTTTATAACATTGGCTTAAAGTATCTGTTTTTCACTTCTGATCAGATAAGAAAATGCTATCATGCATGCTGCTGTTTTGAGCTGTGAGTTTGAGGAGCCTTTTTAATGAAGTAAGGGACTCTTCCTGGGTATCCATGGGCCCATCAACTGAGACGGAAGAAAGGCTCCCAAGATTGTTGTATGTGACACGGCATTTTTCCAGGGGATAGTGTCAGGGAGAGGAGGTACCATCACAGTCAGTTTTAAGAAGAGGGAAAGGGGTTGGAGGGGAGAGGACTTAAATTTATTGAATGCTGATTCTGTGCCAGGTAAATGGCTTGACACTTGGCTAACTTTGTTTTCTTCAATCGTCTGAACAATACTGTGAGGCATAAACATTCTACACCCACTACCACGGGTGCCACGATGCAGACTTATGGAGCAGCACCTTGTCTAGGCTCCCAGTGCTGTTGAGCTGCTGAGCTCATTGGAACCTACGTCTCTCTGGGCTGTTTTCACTGCACTGCATGATCTCCTAATGAGTGGGACTCTATTCTGGGCCTAGAGGATTAAAGAGTGATAAAACTTACACCCTGTACCAAACAGGCTTACAATTTAGTTAGGAGACAAACAGATTTTGAAGGTCAATAGCAGCATATGCATCCAAAAAGGCTAAGATACCAACGTGGCTACAGGAGCTCAAGGAGGCCCTTGATTACAGAGTCCTCTTGAAGGACGGAGATTTGAGCAGGGTTAGAAGGAAGCTGAAGACTTAGAAACATGGAGAAGAGGCCAGCCTTTTACCAAGAAGAGGGCTCATCCTGAGCTAAGAGTATATATGTTGGATTCATGGAACAAGGTGGGTGGTTGTGGCAGTTACTGTAGTGTCTGAAGTGAGCAGAGAGGGGGAGCCCCTTGGAAGGTACAAGAGACCCTTGTTTCTCAAAGTGGGGTCCAAACACCACTGCCATTGCCATCTTCTGGAACATGGTAGAAATCCAGAATCTCAGGCCTTGGGCCAGACCCATGAAGTCAGAATTTGAATTTTAACAAAATTCCCCATGTGATTTGTAAGCATGTTACAGGTTCAGAAGGACTGACTTAAAAAAGTAGGTGCACTCCTCTCATTTTCCTTCTTTTAGATCCCCAAATAAGACAGGATTTTTTTCTGCCCTTCTGTCCCCTTCTTTACCTTGTCTTTACACAGAGGCCCAGGTGACTGTTGGTTGCACTTAGGGACTGAAGTGATGCTTCCTTTCTACTGCTTTGCTTAAAACCCAACATCCTCTTTCTGTAACTTCTGTGCGTCACTCTCTTCTTCCTTTTCACTGGCATTCACTGGTCTGTGAACGTCATACTAGAGAATGTAAAGCAAATGCATTCTGTACACAAATATCTACAAAATGGAGCAACTCAGTTGCCTTCCCAGGAGGCAGCCCTAAACAACTGGCCTAATTGTAAAAGTGGTTGGCCTGCTCACAATGGAGTATTCTGTGTTAGTATCACCCATTTTAAGCAGTGGGCTTTGAAAGGGCAGTGATGTCCTCAGTGGGATTGTGTGCAAGCATATCACCTCAAGAAGAGAGAGGCAGTTTCAAAGTCAGGGTCCTGCCTTGGGGTTCACCAATTTGTTGAATTCAGACTCTTCATTCCTGTAGATTTTATAGATCCTCAGATCTGGGACCACAACAACCACTTGGAAAAATTCTAGATTTAGGGGAAGCTGGGAAATAGGAACATCGTATACATAAATTGGGGGCACTTACAGTTTGCAGTATGACTACAGAGTTTGGAAGTCATCAATCACTCCCATCCACACAACAGGAACAAAACCAAACAAACTGAAAACCAGCCACTCTCTTTAGCTCCTTCAGAGAACTGAGGTCAAAGCGTAAATCACTGTCCCCCAAACTGTAGAGGCAGGCAGATGGATACAGTGAATTACAATTTACCAGAGCAGGAGCCTTTGCAGAAGCCTAACTTCTTTGCAGAAGTTAGGAAAACCTGAACTATAATTGACACATGGCTCGAGGCTCTGTGTGGACAAGTTTAAAAGTTAAAACCCCCTAGGAGGCCCAGTCTCAGGGGGTCCCCACACCTTTCTGAGTTTGACCTCCAGGAGCCCATCAGGTTCCCACCATGAGGTTGGTGGTAAGCTAATCCTCTCTGCTTCCTGCAAGGAGAGGGGAAGTAAGCATTTGGAAATACTCCTAGAGCTCTCCAGCCTCCTCAAGACCTGCCTTCAAGGGGGACTGTTGTACCAGAGCTTCACCCACGGGGGTTTTACCAGGGGCTTAGCCAACCTCGGGAAGGGAAATACCCAGTTTAGGCTCAGTGAAAGACTGGGGGCAAAACATAAGACTTCGGGGTTTCCAACACATCAGTAATGCTCCTGTGTAATAATGAAAGATTACAGCTGAAAGAACTGCGAGCCTCAGCCTCTAATTAAGGAGTCTAATTAGGCAGTCTCTAGGAAAAGCCAACAACCAGGAGGACACAAACAAGGGCATGAAAGGAACTTGTAGCTTCTGACACCTCAGCTACAGCAAAGAGCAAACAGCCTAACCCCAAGCCAGATAAACAGAAAATCTCATGCTAAATGTTTATCTACACAAATTGGGGGAAATCTGCAATGAAGGTATTTGTGTGATGAGATGAATCTCTGCTTACCCAGCAGAATGTTCTAGGTTCTCTGTTTAGAAAGGAAACACAGGATGAGGAGAAATGGTCACATGGTTTTAGGATTTAGGGAGGAGGGAAAATCACCTTCGTCCAAGTTCTGCCCTCTATGAACTTAGCTGTCATTAGACAGACTATTACTGATCTGCAGTTCTTACCATCTAGTGAAATATACTCGGATGATGTTTGAGAGATTACAGAATCCAGTGAGTTTATTTGTTAGAAGTCATCAAGATTCCTATGAAAGTTTTATAGTTTATTGTGGTAATGAGTCAGTTAATTAATAATGAATCTTTGCTCTGATAACTTTATCTTGGCAAATCTTACATGTTCAAGGGTTTCTCCAGTCTCACCGCCCAGCCTGCCTACCAACATGTGAGTGTCATGGAAAAAAAGTTCTTGAGAACTAAGGGCAGCTACCTTCTAGCTCTGATTTTGCCATTCATTTATTGTATAATCAAAGGGAAGTCACATATCCTTTCTGGGCCTCAG